GAAAGACACGATCACTTTGGGGCAAAGCTTGCAGGAGCAATTTGAAGTAGCTTCTCCGCTTGTTCGGGGAAGAATGTGATGAAGAGAAATGCACCTACGGGTTTGATCATTTAGAAAAAACAGATTGCAGAATGTAGAAAAATTATGGATGCTCATGACAGAAAACTTACAAATTAGCACAGTTCCTAACACAGCTGAAATTTTGCCTTGTACAGTAACTAAACCAGCCTTGCCAGCATTTTGCAACTCCGTGGAACCCACATAATCAAATGTTCCTACAAAATGAAATGTCATCCACACTGAACGTATGCTTAACTTCTAAGTAACATGGTATATGAGTATAAATATACTTCCTGTATTCTTTTTCTAATCACAATTCGCAACGCTTTGACATCTTTAATATATCTTACTTTGACCATATCTTTTGCTAATATATTAAAAATGAACTACATTATGTAAAATGTTATTTCATTGGCTTAAGTATGTTTTTAGTCCTTGCAAATGTGACACACTTTGTTTTAGGTCCCTGCAAAATAATTTTTTGGTTTTTCATCCTTGTAATATGCCCTATTTTGTTTTTAGTCCTTCTCCAATTCCAAAACCACTCTACTTAGGAAAAAATTATTGTCAGTTGCATAAATCTATTAGAAATATTTAAATTTATCCTTTTATAATTTTTTTGAGGCTAATATGAGAGTTAAAATACTGTAACCTAAGTATTCATATTTTTAAAATATAAATTAAAAAGCCTTTGAAAAAATAACATTAAATACTTTTTTAATACAAAGAATTAGAGAAAATCTATTAGTCAGGAATTCAGGATTAGTTTCAAATCAAACAGGTGTTGATATCATCGGTGATGGACTAAAAAGAAAACTAACATAAATTGCAGGGACTAAAAACAAAAAAATATTTTTGCAAGGATGTAAAACAAAATGTACTACAATTGCAGGGACTAAAAACATATTTAAACCTATTTCATTTGTCTGAATGTAAATTTTCAAAATATCATTTTTTTCAGAATTTTTACTAATACATAATTAATCAAATTATTGGTCAAAGTTTTGCATGTGCGAACATGAAAGTAGAATTGTTGGAACTAAAAAGAAACAGAGGTTATTATATTAGTCCTAGGGTAAATATTACTCCGTATTATAATTGGTTGAGTTAGGATTAGTTTGGGTGTTAGTATATTACCACCTCTTAAGCCCCAAAGGCCTATAACTACACCTAACAGGGAAAAAAATTACCATAGTTATTAAAAAAACCCTAAATCCATGTTCCCCCTATCCAAAGTCGGTGTATGAAATGATGGTGGATTGGTGGTGCACGTGGATAGCTTAAGCAAATCAATCATATATGTGTGCTATAAGGGTAACTAGATCCATTCTCTTTACAGTACTATCTACTAGTACTGAAATGATGCTCCTATCATGCGCAATCTAACATGAGGTAATGAAAACAAAATTGGTTGTAAGAATGTATACCTGGTTCCACAGATTTAAGCCCTGATGTTATGCATGCTATTTTCTGGTAACCAGACTCCTCTAACCTCTGTGCAGCAGCAGCAGACCTTAAAGCATACATTAAAACAACAATCAAGATACAGGGTCGAGCAATTTATCATTTAAAGAGTGGTATATTTAGTCCCTCACAACCAGCCTCGATCACAAACCTTATAGGAGATGTAGTTAAAATCATATGTATGTTTGTATTTTTATATTTGGTCAGGTGGGTGACTTGACATTCTCTGGCTCATATAAACAAACTGATCATAAAACATGTGTATTTGTTAGTAACTAAACCTCTTTTCTGTGAGTTTGTATCTTTATACTTGGCCAATGCAAAATGGCTTCTTATTATCCTTTCTCTAAATGTGATGACAGTACAGACTTTTGGGTACTCAACAAAATTAACTGTTAATGCATAATCTCTATTGATCATTGAACGCTCTCATGAACATAACAGTTATAGTTCTAACATGTAAAGTTAGGCATTATAATGAACCAAATATAGTGTTAAGTTGAGCATTTATTAAAAAAAAATGGAAATGACTCAGCCTCAGGCGAGCTCAATGGTTTTTATTTAGAATTAGCAGGTAACCACGGAAAAAATGACTAAATTAATTTGACCTTTTTATTAATCATTTGCAGAGTCGTAGCCACGGCTCCACGACCCCAACAATTATGAATTTGAGGTGGGCCGGAAGAATAACTCATTGATATAAATTTTGCTAAAGTTGGGGAGGGTCCAGTATGAAGTTGGCCCCTATTATGCTCATGTCCTAGAATAAACGTCCCACTTTATATATGATGTGCCACTATAAACTTCTCATATCCTTAATCCATCTTGAGAAACTCCCTCCAACATAAACTGCTTACCTTAATCCTTCTTGACAAACAAGTAGCAGCTTGCTTTCATGTGAAAATTGGCTTCTAACAGAATGCAGAAATTCAGGATTTGGTTTAGTAAAAGGCAGACCAAAGAATAAACCAGAAAAATTGTTGTGCATAGTTCTCTTTATGACAGTTCCTGTAAACACCAACAACACATAAATCAGCTATCAAAATAACACAAAGTACACACAGTAATTAAAAATAACAATAAGAAGAGGAAAAAACAAGTGTCAAACCTAAGTCATTTTCTTTATTTTCGATGAAGAGTGGAACATGATGACATTCTTTTATATGGGATCGCTTGAATTGAGTCTTGTCACGCACATCTAACACTACATACCCATCATCAGCAACAAGTTTCTTTGCCTCATTCGCATTTACAAATTCGATTTCTGCTTTGATCTCCAAAGATCTTCTAAGCTGTTGTTTTCCTTTCACCTTCCCACCTCGATATGGCTTGAGTACTAACCGAGATGCTGTCCCCAGATTGCTGAAAATGCACATCCCTCATCCCTGTCAAGGCTATTACTATATCTCTTTGATGAAATTTAATTTTCAAAGAGTACTATGTGAAAAGCAATACTACCTCCGTCCCAAGACAAAAAGACTCCTTTTTGGGAGTAAAATTTTATATTGTGGTAAGGGACATTTATCATATTTCATATACATATTATTAAGTGCGCATTTAGTAACCCATAGGCCATATCCTTCGCCTATCAACCAGATCTTTTTACTGAAAACTATATTTTGGATTTCACGTGCTAAATTACGGAATTATAAAAAAAAAATAAGGCTAGAGCCAAGAGGTACTTTTGTGATTGAATTTTCTGAAGGGAATATTTTAGCCTTTTCATAGAATACAGATCAAATAAAAACCCTTCCTCCCATGAAAACTAAGAACTGATCCCAACGGTACGTGTACTAGTTATTATCGTTGATCTAGTTTATCATTTGAGGTCGATTTTTGTCATTTCGCCACATCCCATCTTAACGCACGTACTTATTTGATGGTAAAGTAACCGCTGTCGTTAACGGTTATTTTTAATAAACATGCATTTTCTAACTTTTTCCCATTCATTACTCTCCACCAAACCATTACTCTCCTGCACAATTTGTGTCATCATTCACTATATCACACTAAATAATTAATTTGTTTCTATTGATAATGTTTCTCTTGCACTTCAACTACCACTGTCATTTTCCCCCCTCCTCCCTGCATCTGCTGCTCTCACATCTTCACGATTTGCACTTTTTCTAGAATTTGAAGTACTAACATATTAACAACACCCATACTCTTTAAGACACATGCAGATTTCTAATTTAAAAATTACAATTCTTTACCTTATTCTATGAATCACAAATTACTTTATATCATGAACCACAAAGTTTATCCCCATGCACCCTGAAAAACATGCATAGCAGGCACTAATGAACACAAAAAACAACACGTGTGTAGTCATATATTGCACACGTTTCTTTCTCGTACTCATATTTCAACATCCCGAAATTACTGATAACTTCACTTTTTCATACTTAACCATCACTAAATCCTATAAATACATCACTTTTACAATGCTACCCATTATTTTCTGCATGTCGGTTACAAGTTTCCATCTCACCAAGCTTTTCTTCTGCTATATTTTCCATTGATGATCACTATATTTTCTAAAAGTGAACTTTTAGAAATCGAACTTCTTTTACAATTGAAATCCTTCTACGAAATTGCTACTTTTTTTAATCAAGCATTCTCCGTCTCTAAAAGTGAACTTCTTCTACAATTTTTCCACTTTCTATGACCAACATCACCTTCCTTTCCAGTTTAGCATTCGTATAATTGAACAAGGTACTGGCTTACTGGGACTCCTGCGGACGTGATTCCTATTTCCATATAAGGTAATAGGTTTCTACCTTCTTGCCCTTTTACGCCTTACAACTTCGGCTAATTAAGAAGTGGTATCCGATTCCATGCGGTTGAGTCTATCCTATTATATTGTACTACACTTATTATGACCATCAGATCTTAAAATCTAACCGTGACGTTCCATTCATATTTCTCACGTACAGAAGTGTTTTCATTAGAGCTATACCTCTTTTCATATAACTTCTCCTTTGCTAATAAAATACTCCATAGTTAATAATTTAGCAGATTCTGTCATTTCCTTGATATCAGTACATAGCAGTAAAGGAAAAAGTAAAAACATAACAAAAAGCTAAAAAGATAGTAAGTATACATGTATGTATGCCAAACGAAATTGTACGAATCAAGCATCATAGTTACTATTCATGGATCAACCAACCCTACTGTTTTCACTTATTTTCTTCTTCTCCATTACATTTCAAGAAAGCAACAATGTAAAGGAAGATGAGTCAAATACTAGTTTCCTTATATCTCCGCAGATACTTGCAAAATTTAAGTGAGATTGGGGAAGAGATAGATTGACTATGGTTCTGAAATGGGTCGGAAAGTGATAGCATTAAAAAGAAACTAAAACCGAGAGTACCTTCCGAGAAAGATAATTGTAGGAGGCGAGCAGCAACCCATTCCTGCAAAGCTTTATGGCATTCTCTCTATGTTTTCTCTACGGGTATGCTCGTACAGATACTGACGGCTTCTTCAGTTCTTCTCCCAGAAATTCGACCAGCGTCTCGACTTCTTTGCCACGTGGCGTAATTAAACTAGGTAAGGAATCTCATCCGGATTTAAATCTTCTATACGGAAAAAGAATTTCCAATACAAAAAAACAGTGCATACATGGCGGGTAAATAGTCAATTAAAAACAACAAATAAAGATACTTCTTTCCTTATGTCAATGATTTTTTATATGTTTTTGGTAAGTTTTTTCATAATGTCAAACACGATGTAGACATGATTGAGAAAAAACTTACAAAAAGGCAAAAGCACATAACAAAAGGAGAGAAAATGTCATAAATTTAATTTCTTGTGTCTATTTTTCTCATGTCACATGTGCAACATGCATATTGTAGCATTTGAGATGCTCTAAAGGTAAGGTGCTCTAAAGGTACTACAGACAATGGCATTTGGATGAAAAAGAAGAGAAAAGGGGGTGTAAGTAATGCAAGGTGCCCTTTAAAATTATGTGTATGTCTGGTTAGAGGGAGGAGCGGCGAAGGGGAAACCCTAGCCTCCTCCTCTCCTTTTCCTCTCTTTGTTTAATTTTCTTTTGATTCCAATCATGAAAAAAGTTTTGTTAGATCAATATTTCCAGTTCTATGTATACGTCTGTTTCCTAGCGTTGTCTAGAGATATTATTTTCGGTGGCGAAGTGTCGCTTGCCAGATTTATATTCACCGCCATCATCGGTCGGGTGTTCTTGGGTGTTAGTAAGAGATGTGTATTGGCTTCTCTATCGATCATGAATCAAGATTTCTTCTGTATCAATATAGAGGCTAATCGCCCCCCTCCCGAACCACCGCCGATCAAGGAAGATGGGAGTGAATGGATTGCTTTCTTTCCGGTGGCTGGTGAAATCGGAACAATTTCTGCACTTGGCTCCTTGCCGGTGGTTGAAAAAACCGGCAAGTTTAACAAATCCTTTTCGGTGGCTAGTCGAACCAGACCTATTTCGAGTAGCACGAGCAGTCAAATTGCGGGACGAATCTACATAGTTGCAGGGTTAGCGAACATAATAGCTTTTATATGGCTTTTTTGTTCTTTGTCTCACCCTAGTGTAGCATTGAACATTGTGGTTGTAATGATTCGGCTTTTGATTGTTATGTTTCTGGTTACCATTATCAATAATAATTAAGTTATTTGATTTTCAAAAAAAAAAAAAGTAATGTAGAGGTAATGTGTAAGTATTTTTACACATCTACACATACACTTCAATATATGTTTCTGCTCTCTAAAAGAGTAGACACAATCTTAGAAAACATATTCAAACACCCTTAATAAATCATTCTCATATCAATTCATTACTTACATCTTTAGAATGTAAAGGAACCAGGTTTATGTCGTGTTTACTGAGGGAAATGTCGTGTTTACTCGGGGAAAACTCTCATCCCTGTTTAACATTTTCCAGAAACCTTCCCAAAATGAAGAAGATAATTTTTTTTCATGGTAAAAACCTCTACAGATGTAGAAAACTACATGTCATACGTATAGATATTGTTCCTTTTCATTAAGATTTCAGGACTCCTAGAACGAAGTATTCGATCGGCCAAGGTTAGGAAGAGGGGAAAGATTGAGTAAAGTAATGGTGGTTTAACTTAAAGAGATGTTGCGACTTCAACATATATGGTGGCAGATGAATTCATGATGTAGAATCATTGTTGTCTTCTCTACTCAAATGTACATGCCCTAGTGTTTTATGATATCCATCTCCTAACAATGAGACATGATAAGATCACGTGACCCATTTTCTTTATTAAATGTGTTTATGTGGTTCAAATTGAAATGATAAAGTAAAAATGATTTACGATCATACAAATTTTACCAAATATGATCCAAGACAATCTTAATGGGACGGATTAAAAAAGTGGAACAATCTTAACAGGACGAAAGGAGAAGTAGACTTGGATGTCAGTATGTCATCTTTCACCAAGGTTCCGAAAAGGCACCATTTTATACCCACAATCAAATTTATTTACTGAGAAAGTCTCAAACCGTTCAACTGGCATTTGATATTAAGAAAGTGACCTACACTTTACATTAATTTTTTAGAATTCAACGCCTCAGCCTCAAACCAAAGAGAGTACGCATTGCAAATTCGGAGCAGGAAAAATGAAATACGAAGTATTTTCTTATTGTATCACGTGGCCCAATTTTTCTTATGTTGAAAATTAACACTGGAGATGCTCTAAGCCCAATGTTTTTCGATAAGTGAGTTTTAGTTTCACACAGACTTGTATAAGTTGTATTTTTAAGAACTGCGTTTTAGCTTTTAAATGTTCTGAAATTCTCCAAAAGAGACATGGTTGTAATATTTTGGATTTTTGGTTCCCAATTTGCCATCTATCAATTATTATAAATTATCGATGGATGCATTCATGTTTCATACAAGATGAACTATTGCAAATTTACAATAAACAATGCCCGCACTGAAGTTCATGAAATATCCAAAGGCAAAAAAATCGCCGCCTTGAGCGATAGACATAAAGATAACACAAAAGGACAAACACATTATTTGATAGCATATATGATCCTCAAGCGAGTGAGAATCCAGAGTTTAAGTCGTTTGGAACTGAACACAAGAATAATCAACGATAGAGGCTTTCAGATCTCAGATTCTCTGCAATCTCAGTCTCCCAGCGATCGCCATTCTCAAGCAGCTTCTCCTTGTCATATAGAAGTTCCTAGAAACAATGAAACAAGTGTGGTAATCCAATGTGTGCCAACTAGCTATTAGAAAAAAGGTCACACCTTATATGTGTACACAAACACCTTTTCGTTAATTCATTTGTACACCTTTTTGCATTTTTAAACGAATTGCATGCGTACATAGGCAAAATAGGGAGGGTACAAAAGATGTACCAAAAAGGGCATACAAATGGAAATTTCCAAAAGTAAATGGGGAATGGAAGGGAAAAGTCATCCGCTAAACAATTATAGCATAGAAAGAAACCGTCTCAAGAGAGTATTCTTCTATGGCATCCCCATTACAAATGAATTAAGAAGTTTTACCTTCAACGAAACATATTTAGTGTTTCCAGGGTTAATAAGGGCATGTTCTCACGGAAAACGGAAATGCCACTATATGCAGGAAGAAAATCCATTTTTTCTTGATAAGTTCCGTTTAGGGTCCATTTCGAACATGTACAATAGTAAGGAAGGGAAAAAGATGCATAGGAAAACAACTTTTAGAGGATGGTTTTAACTTGAAAAACACCAAGGAAATTAAATTTAATTAAACTTTTTGGATGTTTACATATTCACGATTATTATTTATTAGTCCACATAAAAATAAAGTATTAGCGTAAATTTCATCTAAAATTGATTATTGAGTTTCAAGCTAACTGCTATCCCCCCCACCCCAAAAAAACTCCCTCTATTTTCCTTCGCTTCCTTTCCCTAGCATTTCCCAGGTTCCAAACAGGCTCTTACATAACAGATATTAAACATAAACAAACCTCATGAGTCTCCGTAGCGAATTCAAAATTGGGGCCCTCAACAATGGCATCAACAGGGCAAGCCTCCTGGCAAAATCCACAGTAGATGCATTTCGTCATGTCGATATCATACCTGCCATATATCCAATTCACACATGAGATAGCCATGGGAGTCAAAGGATGAGAGGGAGAGGGGGGGGAGGAGAGAGAGAGAGAGAGAGAGAGAGAGAGAGAGAGAGAGAGAGAGAGAGAGAGAGAGAGAGAGAGAGAGAAGTATACCTGGTGGTTCGACGACTTCCATCTTCTCGCTCCTCGGCCTCTATAGTGATAGCCTGAGCTGGACAAATCTGAATGCCAAATCAATCAATCACTTAAAATCAGTGTCACAGCAAAATAAAAATTTAGTATAATGGAGTTTGAGGTATTATAACCTAAATAAACACTTACAGCTTCACAAAGTTTGCATGCAATACAACGTTCCTCTCCTGTTGGATAACGTCGGAGGGCATGTTCTCCACGGAAACGAGGGCTCAAAGGACCCTTCTCAAAGGGATAGTTGATCTGCAAGTTTCAACAATTTTATATATACATGAGCTTTTTTTTTAACTCTCATATATAAATGAGCTTTAAACTGGACAAAAACTGCTACTCAGTTAATGGCAGGCCAGGTCAATTGTTTTATATATGGGATCTTAGTATCATCATTCTCTAGTTTTATGGTGCAACACGATCATTTGATATGGATTGTACTCAACTACTCAAATGTAGTCATGAATATATTATCCAGAAAAGAAAATATATTGACAGAATAACTTACTTCTTTTAGAAGAATAAAGTTTACTTTTAATAACAGCAAAACACCAAACAATGCATTAGAGATTTAGAGCAAGGTGTAATTTTTATTTTAGTAAATTCAATCGAAGCAACCCCAAACTTTTGTGGGACTAAGGCTTGGATTTTGTTGTTGTTATTGTAGTAAATTCAATCAAAGTACAAGTTTTTAATTCATATATACTCAGTTGGTCACTGAAACCATAAAACGTTAATTCCAAGCTTGTTTGGAGAAATGGAGTAAAAGTATTTGGTGGTTATACATGAATTATACTTCAAACTTAAAGTTGACTTTCAGAATCGTTATTTTTTGGATGTAAAATTCTTTAGCAAATTAGGATTATTTCTGTAAATGATATTCACTTTTCTATTTTATTACTCCCTATGACCCACTAAACTTGGCCAAATTTGATTGACATGTGAAATTGGGTAATTTAGGTTTGTGTAGAGAGACAAATAAAATTAACCAAAAACTTGTTAGTTTGAAGGGAAAGTAGCAAAGCTTTTGGAATAGCCAAATTAAGAAAGTTGACAAAGTTTAGTGGGGTAAAGGAAGTATAATTGATAGACTCACGTAAGCTTTGGTTTTTAATACCCTACTATAAACCAGCCAAGCATTACACTTTAACAGTTTAACCCCCAATGACTGCAATGCCACAAGAGCAGTAGCCATTGTAATTCCCAAACAGCCACAAAAAAGTAAGAACAAAAACAAGAGAAAATATAACAGGGACTTACAGTGACATTCTTCTCAAAAAAGTACTTGAGTGTTAGCATCAGACCGCGAACCATTTCAGTTAGAAATAGTGTATTGATGCTCCTCTCAAAAACTGCACATTGTTAACAAGGATTTGGAATGTATAATTAATTCCAAGTTGAGGCATTACAGAAGAAATGTGAGTAAAACATGTGGTAGAAAGGATTTTACTAGAGTTCCAATCTTTAGACAATTCTTTTGCAAGCTTCTCTCTCTCTTCATCATCTGCAACACTCAAATATGAATAACTGTTAGCACTCAACCAGATCCATGCATATTGATAAAATGCTTCATTCACAGGCATCTTATTTTAGGAGACTAATAAAGTAAAGATGTCAATGTTAACATCATATTAGAAAATCAGAACAAGTTTTTACAGCATTTTGATGTTTTCACAGATCAATAGGAACCATTAGCTCAGTTATGCCGTAACCTTTATTATCTAATACTACCTCCGTCCCAAAAAGAGTTGCAAATTTGACTTTTCTTAGTCAAACAGTCTCGTTTTGTTCACTTAATTAGGATGTCTATTTTTTATTATTTTCTAATTTGGAGTTTACAACTTTGAAGAGATTTTTATGTAGTTTTTGAATATGTAAATTTTAATTATTAAAAATTGAATTAATTATCCATAGGGAGGGTTGACTTTTATTATTGGTTGACCAAAAAATGTTGACTCTGCAAAACAAATTGGGACGGAGGGAGTATCTAGTAACACACACCTCTGACCCTTAAATTTTTGAGGCCATATGGATATGAGGATATCCATACAAGCCATTAAATAAAGTAACAAATTTAAATGATGACAAGTACTGATCAATAAAAGTAATATACACCTTCATTCTTTCATTTAATAATATGCCTTGGATGAAAATGTATAAACAGGTAGAAACAAGTCAAGAGAAATGCACAAACCCTTGTCATTAGAAAATGCATTCTTTGTAGCAAATGATTGTGACCCAAGCATGGATCCAAAACGGTTAGAGCCTTGTAACGCTTGTCCTGCCAAAACCTACAATTACCAGTAGACAAGAAGAGGAATAATATAGATCAATCATCATTTACCCCAGTGCCGCAAAGGCTCCCACC